TATTTCCTAGTAATTTCTAATAGTTCCTAGTAGTTCCTAGTGGTTCCTAGCAATATGTGATATTAGATTAGAAGTTTTTACTAAAGAGATTTCATTTGAGCAGTGTTACAAACCCACAGGGGAATCTTTGTTAATTTGTCATGATTTTACTTAACATTGTTTGCATGGCTACATCTTGACAAGCTCACACAAAATTCACAATATGCAATTAGCAATAGACTGTTGTAAATCAAAATTCAAAGTTAGCTTAGAACTTAGCACTAAAGCACTTATAAAGTTGATTGATGGCACTCTATTGCTAATAGTATGTCATAAATTCTGTTCAGATTGTTCTTAGCAGAAATTCAAACAACAGTTTATGTCTCAAATTTAAAAATCCAACTCACACTTCAACACCCGAAAAAGCAAAGAAAAGCATTGTGTTGCTGATCAATAATCTCATTAATTATTATCAAAGCAATAATAATTATTAATGAAGATTGACATTGTTTGTGCACAGCCTACTTTCATAGTGCCACAGTCAGCGTGTCATGTTAACTTTGATGGTGTCTTAATGGAGCCTGATGGAGCAAATCTCTTTCCTTCATCTTTCCTTCACTTCAGGAATCCTTCTGCTCAGGTCTTGACCATTGATTCATTGTAATTTCTAACTTTTCTTGTCTGTAACCATCCTCATAGAAGCCATAAACATTTTCATGTTTAATAATGCTAAATGTTTTAAACTGTTAAATGTATTAAAATGCAAAAGGTGTTATTTTGTTAAGTTTTTGTGTAGATTGACTAGCACTTTAAAGAGCATTAACATTAACTTACTCTTTTCTTTCTGTTTCTTTCTCTAAGCTAAGGCAACTCTGTTGATTCTGTGGCTAGATGTTATGTGTTGCATCTGTAAATTAAAATGAACTGTTTTTACTGTAGTAAATTATATATTAAACATTCATAAAAGTGTGCTTGTGTTTATACATGTATGTATACTCAATATGTCACTTAGTATAAAATGCATTGATGAGTGGGTTGTAATTCATAGACCTTTTCTGCAATATATATTTAAAAGTTAGGGCATTAAGGTCTAGCTTCATTATAAACAGCATCAAATTTGGCCACTTGAATAGATATTTGGTCAATTGAAAAAGATGTTTATTCTGAATCTATGCCACAAGGCTATTTAAGAAAAGGTCTTTGCAATAGAAATGGCCATCATCTTGAATTCTATTGTTTTAAGTACTGATCCAGTAAGAAACTATGGGATGCTCAAGCGGCACTGCACAAGACATTCATAGACTGTAGGGCCTTCAGAAAATGGAGTTTCATTTCTTAAAACGTGAAAAAAAACTATTAAAAACAAAACATTGAATTGAAGTATTTTTTTGTATCATTCTTAAAAACAACGTGTGTCTTTACACCTTAGACATCCCATAATTTCTTCAAAATTCAAGATGGCGGCCGTATTTTAGTAAACAGGTCTATTGTCTACACTGTTAATATTATTGCATTTGTATTACATAGGCTCATGGTGTTGATATTGAAAAGAATTCAAGTCTAAGCCTAAGAAGCTATGTTAGTAGCCATCATAGCAGTAATGAAAGTCTACAAGATGCTACTGGAAGTGAGAGTGTATCTGAAGCTCCTCCTTCTCTGGTAAGATAATCGATTCCAATTATAATAATAATGTCAGCAAAGCTATAAGAGATCATCCTTGGGAGTAAACTGAGATCATCCTTGGGAGTAAACTGCTTTATGGAACGAACGGCAGAAGGTTCCCGAGGATGTGACGAAATTGGAAGGGGCAATGAACGTTTCTTTTCTCCTTTGGGCTTCCTTTGTAAAGATCATAATGTTAGGGACTAGGGACTAGTGAAAGCAAAAAGACAAGAAGCCCGTGACTCTTCTTGAGGCCTGTGGAAAAGTTTAGGCAAAAACAATAAGGTGTTGTGGAGTGCCTGAGGTGTTTGGAAAGTATGATGATGATAGTGATGACATTGATAAATGATGATGATTCAAGTCATTGTGGTAGGAACTAGCGGTAAACTAGTGTGAGCTGCGTCGGTGTTTCTAAAGAAACAGTTGTGTAAAAAGATAAATTTAACACCGTAAAAAAAGTATGTGAAATAACTTACTGACGTTTCGGACGTTAATCCTTCGTCGGAGTAAAAGTGTTGTGTTGATGGTTAAGATGTCATACACTCTTGTAGTCATAAAGTGCTCAAAAGATTATGACAGTGCGAGTGTTACAAGAGTAGACATCCTTTCAAAACGTTTCTTTTTACCACATTTTTAGTTAATAAATTTACAATCGGATAAGCTTTGGTAAAATCAACCGAGTAAACCAGACGTCTCAGTTTGAATGTCCTAGTACTGACACACTCTAATAAGCTGTACATATTATTCACAGAAATGCGGTAAAAATGATAGCAACAATGCTGTTTTAGCAGTAAGTTTACAATAATTGATTTCGCACTCTCTAATAGACATTTATTTGTATGAATTTTAGCATCAAAATTCCAAGCACGATGAACGATTTTCAACTATACGACCAAAGAACGTCATAGCTCGCCAACAACAGGAACAYCAAGGTGCAGATAGAATGCATGACCAGCTAATGGTGTACAAACGAATGAGACAAAACCACCAACGGCAAATGCAAATCCTTGAGAATAAGCTACGAACAGAAATGAATGATCACAGAAGACAATTGGATAAGGAGTATGAACAGGTAAGTTAACCAACGTCTCCTCCACTTTAATGATGATAATGATAATAATGATGATAATGATAATGATGATGCTGATGATGATGATAATGATGATGATGATAATATATGATAATAATATAATGATATATGATTCATATAATTGAAAAGAAAAGGTTGTGAACGTATGGCTCAAAATGGTTACATCATCGAAACTAAGRCGGCAAGAGAGTATGGGAAGACAAAGYATTGTGRTTATATAGCAATGTAGTGTTTAATTCCCGAAAATTGACTGTACTAARTGATGGCTTTCTCCACGAGTAATGTTAATAGTGCACGTTTAGGCGGTTATAATTCAGACTTTCTAGTCCCAAAATCCCCTTCGGTCGTAGCTTCAATGATGTCACCTTTTTRAACTTGAGAACCTCTTTTCAATTGGKTGTAAACAGTTTATCTCTCTCTATTATCACCGGTTATCAACAGTAGCATGAGTTAACCACATCGTACTATAGTCATTAATTTGTTTTTGTCCCATTTTAGATGGTACATCAGTTCGAGAAGGATCTAGACAAGATAAGATCGCGGCATCGAGTTGAGTTAGAACAAAGAATCAAACAGATCCAAACTGAAGAGAAGAAATTACTTCGACAAATTCGAAACCAACAGGATACCGAGATGAAACATTTTATTTCAAACCAGAAAAAAGAATATGGAGAAAAGAAAAAACTGTATAAGGTAGCTAAAACGTTTATTGAACACTTTGTCAGTGAAAGGGAGAAGAACATGGATTTGGTGGGGGTGGGGTGGGGTGTTTGGGTAGGGCCTTTAAGGGCTACTTTCAAAATTTCCAACTAATTTTCCTATCTTTTTATGGCCGAGAAAAAACMATGATCTAATTGGATATTGATATTTTATTATCATTTTATTCTCGATTGTTATTTTTGTCTTATTATATAAGAAAGTCAAACTGGAATACTTTTTTACGAAGTGTTTTTTTTTTCTTTTTTCTAGAATGATGCAAGTCCAGCAGTCTACCAAGAAAGAAAGAACACCCTTCAAGCAACACAAGCCAAAATCCTTCACCAGAAACGCACCGAGAATCAGAAGTACTTAAACAACGAGATTCGACGATTTAGAAGACACCAATTGCTACAGAGACATGGTTTGGAGAAAGCGCTTATTTCTGAGGTAAAGATGTCTTTAGTTTTAACTTAAGATTGAACTAGATTGAGATTGATGATAATGAAGATGATGATGATGATAATGAAGATGATGATGATGATGATATTGTCCTGATTTTTGAATACAAAGATTCAAAGCTGGGTTTTATGATTATTCTTCCATGACTCCTGGTTACATCCATGATAGTCTTTGACTGAGGGAGGAAACCACTCACAGTAAGGAAGACAACCAGTCTACAGACATTTAAAAATCACGTATGTTCGGACCGGGAATCGAAATGGGATCTCATGCAGTATTTTTCATTTAGGAAATGAATAAACTAGAAGCCCAAAAAGAACAGTCGCACAAGATGTTGATACGCCATCACGAGTGTACACAGGAATTAGAGTTCAAACATCTTGCAGCCTTGCATAAACTACGTCGAGAACAACAAGAAAATCAACACACGACTGAGCTGAATAATCAAATGGAATACAATAAACAAGCTGAACTAGAATTACGTAAGAAACACGTACTGGAACTGAAACAACAACCAAAGACTTTAAAGGTAAGAACATTGATTTGATGGATTTGTTTTCCTGAGCCGTCGGGAATACTGTGGAGGGAGGGGGTCAAAAAGGTAAAAGAGAGCCTGGTTTTCTTACTTATCACGATGACAGATATTCTTGGTCAAAATTTTCAACACAGGAATTCCAACACGGAATAAGCCAGAATGTTGTGTAGTCCAGGGAGTATGCGCCTGAGGAGGCTTGTCAGTCTTCATAGTTTTGTGATAGTTTTTTGATAGTTTCGTACAAATAATCATCGCGTTCAGCCATTACTCCATTCCATCCCAATCCTCGCCACCTCACTCTCCTCCAGTCCACTTGTCTTCACTCCATTTTAGACAGCGAGATCCCAATCTCCTTCAGTCCAACCAGTCCAGTTCTTTTATTTAATCCAGACTTAAAATCAACCTTATTTTCCAGCAACAAGAGATGAATATCAAGAAACAATACCGTGATGCAATACGAATACAAACATTACAATACAAAGCTCTACAGAAGCAGATTCTGGAACAAACGCCAAGTGACCAACATAAAGAGCTAAAAAAGCAATTCCGTGAAGATAAGGAGAGAAAGATGGCCGACCTGTGYGTTCAGTACGACCAGAGCATCGCTGAAATGCTACAAAGACAAACGGTAAGATAAGCGTGATATACTGAAATGAATGATGATTATATGAATGACTGTTACGATGATGCATGTTTCGAGCAAATCTTGCTGCTTTATTTACTATTTGCGCATGCTCTGGTACGATTTCCTAGCCACATGGCGCAGTGACTCAGACAATGATCATGATTATGGCGATGTTAGCGATAATTTTGATGGATTGGATCTTAACTTGCCTTTGCTGCTATTTTGTCTTTTATCTTTAGTTAAAACTTGATGAGACCCAACTTCGCGAGCAAGAGCAGTTGCGACAAAAGCTACAAAGCGAACAAGAACTACTCAACGCTTATCAAAGCAAACAGAGCAGTCAATTAATGTCACAGCACGAGAAGGAGGCATCGGACCTCCAGGAAAAGGTTTCTGTACGACGTGCACTGCTTGAAAACAAGGTGAATACAATATTTATTTTGTTGTTGTTGTTGTTGTTGTTGTTGTTGTTGTTGTTGTTGCCCTCTTTATTTTCAATTGTTTTGATAACGCAGTCTCGCTTTTGTGACGACTTTTTAAAATGTATTGTGAGTTAGGCTTAATTGCTCAACAACAACCATTTTGAATCTCTGTCCAAGATAGTTATAGAACGAATAGACCTCTAAAGGTTTTATGTCACCTACTTGACTTGCAATGCATTGTGGGATCAGAAAACAAAAGGAAACCGACATGTTTTGTCCCAAACATACCTGCTATCTCTTATTACGTCTATGTCATGCACTTTGTAACTCTTGACAATTTTAATACTTAACAATTTTTGAAAGTAATTGATTTATCTTTTCACAAGATAAAAATGCAAAGACAAAAAAAATCCTGCAATGATTTTTGCACAGCCAATATTTAGCTAATTCCCAGGTCTCTTCCGAATAACGGCTACGAGAGACTATGTGGATGTGGCTTCATAAAGAAATGCATACATTTTTGTTATAATTGGTTATAAATATAATTCTAGATGATCCAAGAGACAGAAAACTTGCTCGAACTACGAGAGGGAAAGACCCGTCTACTTGAAGAACGACACCAACGTGAACTACAAGATTTTGACAACGACGCTGACCTTGAAAATCACTCGACATCGACATGGAAACATCGCAGCATCAGCAGCGTGAGCAGCCTTAGCAATTTGAGCACGGCAAGCACGAATAGTGCAACTTCTACGAGCACCCAAGAAGAAAACAACGGCTCTTTGGTTAACCCTTCTTCATCAAACGATAGACTGTCGGTAAAATCAAGCGCTCTGAAGGTGTAATTATTCAATCATGCAAGTAGCGACAAATAGAGAACTTAATGGTCCAATAATGAAACAAAATTCTTATTTTTAAAGACAGTGGCTCAACTAGAAGGTCAAATTGGCTAGTYTTCCGTTGGGTCATATGTTTTGCTTTTTTTTCACTAGCCTTTGTAAGATATCTGACAATAATCTGTCTTTATATGATAATTCAAAGCTGCTGGATAAGCTATGTAATACTGAAGGGATTTGTGTCAYGTGGTGGCAGCCATGTTTAATGGTTAATACAGTAATGAATTTTAGATAAGAAAATACGATTTGTCAAAAAAAACATTTGAAGAATATTTGAAGTTTGACACCATCTTGGCCACTTTCACGTCGATTGTCCAAACCGTTATGCTCTAGTGAAGCTGCAGGAAGTAACTTGAAACGAGGCCTCTGGGAAACGTTGAAGCTTCAATATTTTCTTTGGAARTTCTTTGATTACTTSGGTTACGAGCACTGTTTTGACTAGAATATCGCAAAAGGGTTATTCTGCTTACACTCGAGCGTTTTCGTGGAAATTTGGATRATTTTAATCTTKTAGTGATTGGAAAATACGAAGAAAACGCAGGGACTTTGACCTTCTGATAAATAATTCAGCATTTTAGGAACAATTTGGTCGTCATCTTCAGTTGACGTTACCAAGCATAATTCTTTCCAACAAATGGCAGCGTAAGACATTTAAACGACTACTCGTAGAATGCACTTTGGAATTTGACAAGTATAGACAATCTACAGCGACGCCATTTTGTKTGTCAAAGCATGATGGGRGTTTGTAGTTCTTGCATTTTGTAAAGGCGCTTAAAAGTCTCCMTTAAAGCCGTTTTTGTGTTTTCYYAGTAGAGACGACACAACTTCTTCTAGTTTTGAAAAGGAAAGCAAAAATGGCTTATGAGGACTGTTGAAGCGGACATGAAAAAAATGCGAGGACTAGAACTGYCAACATTCATTCGTGTCACAAAATGGCGTCGCTGCACATTGCYTATTGTGTTTGCGATTAATATCTCAAAAGTTTTTAATTTAAATTTAGACCAAATTCAAGGTGATATACTCTTATACCTTTATTTGATAATTTCACCTCGGGGTAGTTTTACTAGAATATGAAACAATAATAAGTCTTTAACGGGCAGCATCGACCGAGTAGCAATGGTACTGAGCTGTAGTTTTTTATACACGACTTATTCCTTCACGTTTATATTTCATCTCAAGCTTCCCGCAAGTTAAAAACAATAGCCTGCCTTCGATATTCTGATCGAAAGTTTATGCCCAAAAGAATTGAAGATGAGGCTCTGGGGACTGACACAAGAATTATTTTTTTTGTTCCCTACTAGCCTCGTCTTCAATTCGTTTGTGCTTCAAACATTCAACAAGAATATGGAAGGTAGGCTGTTCGATAAAGTTTTAATTCTTAAGTGAGGCAGATAATTGATCCGTTTCACTAACACTTCGTTGGATGGTTTGATATTTAGTAATAATATGTTCTGACTGACAATCCATCACTGTTTCGAATAAACAGTGGTTTATCGTTGAGATCCTTTCGTATGAAAGGGAATTAGTCTAAATGTGATAGCCTATTTTTATAAAGACAACATGCTTTGTTGGTTTAAGGGTCCAAACCTCTATAAACCGATCAGAAGTTATAATTTTTAGATGGTCGATATCTGAGCGGTCGTTTTATAGAGTTCAGCATTGCAGTATATATTGAGAATGATTTCTTCCAAATGACGACCGTTCTTTAGAGGTTCACTAGATACTAAATACGATTTTATTTTCAGTAAAACGCTAGAGCGATACCACGAGGATCGTATTATAGAGGTTTGAATATGGCAAGAAAAGAATAAGATTTGAAGGTTTCCAKTCTGGTCGTTATTCACAGGGGGAAGTACTTGATATTCTGGGTTTCTCCGTTTACTGGAGCATTATGATAAGTAAAATGAATGGCTGTTTTGCTCTTTTGAATATTTTGTTGAGTTTTAGTTTCATTTTGGGTTACGTCAGCCGTGCTCCCGTTCACCGAGAATGAGCCCGCGATATTTTGTTAAGGATAGAGATATTTCTCCCTGTATTTTAACTCRAGGGATGTAAAGTATTAACACATCAGAAAGTACTGTTTGAAACTTAGTATCATCAAAGAAATAAATGAGAATTATTGAGTGCTATTCAGTTGTATCGGTGCTTGAATTCTCCACTGCTGATGACGAAACAGTAGTTTCAGGTCGAGRTTATGGTGGAGTAAAATATGTAAATTTTTGTCCATCAAAGCCTCGAATCTCTTGTCAAATAATCAGCTCATAACTGATGTAAATGCTTGCACCCTATAACACGGTCATTTAAGCAGGAATATGATTTCTTATAAGCCCATATTCCTGTTWAGATGCATCCCTTCCCTGTGAATTGCGACCAGTCCAGGTAAATGATGTAAAGATAGATATGGTTTGGAGACAAGATCTTCGGTACATTTTTAAGAGATCATCCAATCTATATACATAAATATATATATTATTGTATTATTGAGTACAAAGCACTTGTACATTGCTGTATATTCCTAGTAGGAAGACAGCTTCTATCACGAATAAAAATAGCAAAACGTGCTTTTCTCGAGTTGTCGTGTTTGTTGTCATTASTTGCCTGGGAGACTATGRTTTRGGGATAAGGGAGCGAAAGGGAACGCCTGCMAGAGAGATTTCATATATTAGTATGATTTAATCGTTTTTATAGATCCTCTTATTGCCCTTTTCTTACTTCATTTATCTCTGCACCTGAAACAAGGAGCGCCGACGCATATAGTCCAAATTGTTTAAAAATCTCGTGGTTCCGGCGATGGCTGTTCGTTCATGATCGAACTCGTGAATATTTCTGTCATAAAATTTATAGGTCAAAAGGTTCTAATGAGAATGTTAGGCTTTGAAACCAGTCAACCACTTGACCACACCCACCATGAGGGCACCACGCCCTCCTTTTGTTGTATCGGTGATTTGTAGTGTTGGCATAGCTCCAATGATCAAATAGTCATTCGGGTCAAATAATCGAAAATACACACGATACATCGTCTTTTCTCATTTAGTTATTGTGCTATCTACCTTACTAGCTAAATAGATGTACTGTGATGACGAGTAACGGATTTTAGTTTTKGCTGCCCGCGCTTTTTTCACAGTATGACTCACGGGTTTCCTGTGTTGCTGTAGACTGGAAACCAGTGACGTGGTCAGCGATTACAGCAGACATCAAAATGGCGTACCAGACGTTTAGTTCAGAATACATGCAAATGCCCATCGTTACACGGGCATATACTACAGCTTGTGTATTAACAACATTAGCCGTGGTAAGCAAGCTTTTCCTTTAACTGTTGGTGAAATGTTTGGCTCATTTAGACTAAATTCAAGTGTTTTTTTTGTCAATAGCAACTAGACGTCATAACTCCGTTTCAACTTTACTTCAACCCTGAACTTATTATAAAGAAATACCAGGTGAGCCGAGCGCATTTTGAGCTTGTCTGTATGTACATTTTAGTCTCCTTTTAATTATAAATTAAATTCTTTTAAATTCAAAAAGGAGCGATTGCTATTAATAAAGCTATGCTAATATCTAGGCATGTTTCACTTCAAAAAAAATTATTTGTTGTCGTTCGATCATTGGTTGTATAAATTGTGAATTGTATTGAAGGCCTGGTTGGTAGCCTTGTTTTTATTTGTCCTTAATTACTTTTTGTGTTCAGTTGTTTTGCAATAATTTGTTTTATACGTTTTTTTTTTTACTCCATTTATGTCACACCAAAATATTTATGGTGAAAAAGCTTCTGTTTTGTTATCCTTTTTCTTGAATAAAAAAATTAAAATGTTAATTATGTTAATAATGTTTACTTACTGATCTTTTCTGTATATTACTCACTAAGATTTTTTTTTCTGCAAATTTCTTTTTCAGCTTTGGAGACTTGTCACAAACTTCTTATTCTTTGGAACCATAGGTTTTAATTTTTTGTTTAATATGATTTTTACGTATCCTTTTAAATATATGGTATTTCTTGTACAATAACTTTTATATGACTGTTATTATTGGATTTAAAACTGTTACATGTAAGGTATTGTAGATTCCTTCATAACCAATCAGATATCGATACTGCCGAATGCTGGAGGAAGGCTCATTCAGGGCTCGTTCTGCTGACTTTGTCTTTATGTTTATATTTGGTGGTGCATTGATGACTGTATCCTTTACCAATGGGAAAATACTGTACTYAATGATGGATTTTTGTCAAATTATTTGGATGTGAAGTTGTTTAATGATAATTACATACACATACAAGTTTTTACATGATAGATTTACAATAGTTTCCTTGGGGAAACGTAAAAAAACTCTAACAAGGATGGTTTACAATTATGAATGTTTTCAATGTTTTCTTTATGTATATGTTTAGACCCTTAAAATTCTAAGACATCTATACAACAATAGCAATGTTATAAAGATTTTAGTTTTTTTTTACCATTCATAGGAAGCTCAAAAAGTTAACAATATTTACTTGTAAGCAAATAACTTACATCTGCTATCAAACAAACCCTTGACAGTACTTAGATAATGGCATTATTTGTAAATCTGGTATTTCTTGGGCAGGCGTTTACTATAATGCTTGTGTATATATGGAGTCGGAGAAATCCGTACGTCAGAATGAACTTTTTTGGTTTATTGACCTTTAAAGCACCCTTCCTGCCCTGGGTGTTRTTTTTGTTCTCCTTGTTGCTTGGCAACTCAGTGATGGTTGATCTTGTCGGTAAGATTTAATGAACAAATGAATGAATGAAAAAATAATTATTCAGTAATGTTTCTTGATGAATGAAGTAGGTATTTTATTATTTCATTCACACAATAAAAGCTGCCATTGAAAGCAGTTTTTCTTCACATGATGAGAACCACAAAACAAATTATTTAATAATAAACATTGCATTAATTCGTTATTACACCACAAACCAACATTCTGTTGAAAACTTCATTGCAATTATAAATAGATGTGGCTTTGAGTGAATCATTGAGTAATTTGTGGCCACTATTTTCATCCTTATTCTTTACTTTTATTATTTATTTTATAAAAACCAGGAATTGCTGTTGGTCATGTGTACTATTTCTTAGAAGATGTCTTTCCAGAGCAGCCTGGTGGCTTCAAACTTCTCAGAACACCTGGATTCCTGTGAGTAATTCTCTTTCTAATCTGAAAGTACACTCTGGCACTGATAACTGCTGCTATCTGTTTTTTGACAAATGAATTAATCGGGTTTTCTAAGATAACACAAATTTGTGTGTTTTTATAAGTAATGAAATTTGAAACTGCAATATTCTTTGTACCAGTGGCTAAGGTCCAAGGGAATCACATGGGCATCAACACCTTGGATGTATTTGAACAATATTTTGATATTTTTGTAATCTTTACCCAGGAAAACAATATTCGATGGGCCAGTAGATGACCCCAATTATAACCCTTTACCAGAAGACAGACCTGGTGGATTTAATTGGGGAGAAGGYGAACCTGTTGGTGCTGGAAACAATGATAATGAAGAACAGTAAAATTGTAAAATAGAATTTGCACTTGTTTTAAGCGCTGAACTCACATCTTCATGCTTCTTGTGGTATTAAACAGAAGGACAAAATCTTGGAAAATTTGATTTATCCTTGTTGTACAAAATTTTAAATTGGTCAGATAAAGGTATTTGAACTTTGTACATGTAGGAACACAGGCAACCTTCTCAGAACTGTCCCCTCCTGTTGTTATTACTCTCTGCCACAGGAAACCCAACCCAAAGAAAAAGTACAAATACTTGCACAAGCTGACGACATTTATCATTAGRCCAATGAAATGGAAACTAATGAGTGAAAAATGTACAGATCAAATATATATAATATAAGCTTAGTGTAAATATAATATGAGTTTAAAAATAAAAACTAATTCTATATGGATATGTGGTACTGTTTATATCTATATTTAGCAACCACCCACCAAGATACAGGTTTAGCAAGAAGAGCATG